TTTTTTCTGAAACCAAATTGTTTATTAGAGAGTAGGTTGTTTGTCTCTAAGTGGAGGATAATGGATTGGTTAATAATTGATCCCATGACTTTACAGGTGATGCAGCATAAAGAGATTGGTCTGTAATTTTCAACTAGGCTGGGGTCTCCCTTTTTGAAGATGGGGATGACCATGGCTTGTGATCATAGGTTAGGCAAGGAGCTGGTCCTGAAAGATTTTTCAAAGATTTAATATTCTAATTGCTGTTGTCAGATTTCTATGGGTCATGGATGGCTCTACAGGCAGAAGGGAAAATGCAAATCCTAGGTGTTTGTCTGAGTTAATCTTGTCAACCTAATTGCTTATCTGGAGTTTCTGTCTGGGCCAGTCTTTCCCAAATGCCAAATCTGCATTTCCAAAAGCTCAGTTTCTGCTTGGTGCAGGTGGACTCGTGCTGATTTCTGCCTCCCTTAAGATTTTTTATTATTATTATTTCTCCTTTAGGGGAAATATTCTATCCTGCCTTTTTTTAATATTCCCCAAAATATTTAATTGTGAAACGGTATCCGGAGCAAGCAGCAAATATTTTTTTTCATTTTTTTTTTCTTCAGAGCAAGCGGGTCATAGACGCACCTAAGATCAACATGATTGAAACGGCCCCCGAGGACGTGCAAGAGGCGGGTTGACCTCAATGGTGCCTGCAAAGCACCAATGAAAGCGTTCGGGGCACTTCCATCGAGAGGCGAGCTAGAGCGGTCGGGAAAAAAAATCACTCGGGGAAGATTAAAGCGATCATAGAAGCTCGATTACAAATTCACCCGAGGCACTTCCTGTTTCCGGGTTTTGCTCCCGGCCTCCAGTGGCTTGGAGAAGGCGGAGCGGGCTGCAGCTTAGAAACGGCGCGAGAAGGAGGGTTGCAGGAATAGCAGCATGGCAACGGCCGCGGTGAGCAACAGCCTCGTTTTCGTTCTAGGAAGAGACTCGGCTAACCCTCTTCCCCCACACGAGTACACTCCGGGTCCCTGGTCCTCATTGAGCTTCTGATGGGGAACCGAGGCCGGAGTAACCCCCGTGGGTTGCATTAGTAGTGCTTTTCCCCATTCACTCCCTTCTAGAAAATACTAGGTTTCTGCCTGCCTGCTTTGCTTCAGATGCATTGGATTACAGCTCCCATCATTCGCCGCCAGTCCACGTGACAAAAGTGGGAACAGTAGTTCGGCTCGTTGGGAAGACAGCATTTTGGGGACTGGGATACATTTCCATATCGTGTGAATTGCATTTATGTATAGCTTTTCTCCGAGGGGTTTACCTAGTTCTGTTTCGCCGCTTGCCAGCTTGTCCTTTAAACTTTGTAAACTAGGTTGGGATTCTGATTCTATACAGAAAGATTTTTAGCGGTGCGGTGACTTCTTCTGTACCGATTTCCTTTTGAGTTCACAAAATGTTAATCAGGTGGTTGAGGCTTAGCAATAATCTTTGTACAACATGTGTATCATGGCTAAGGTTATCCTAATGACTTTTTGCAATTTAACAATGGTTTAATGTATATTTTCCCAAGATACATTAATTCAGTTACTTATTTAAGCAAGTTGTGTGAATATTGCCTTTTAGGGTGGATTTCCACTCCCAGATATCTACTGCACATTCTCATAACTTTCCTCTTATCCCCTTTCCTGAGTTAGTTATACCAGGCCTATTAGGAGGGAGTTGAGACAGTGATTAACTTGTCTTCCAATGATTCTAATTAGGATTTCTACTTGTCCATTATCAGAATGGAAAAGTGGCCCCCCCCCCAAGCAACATCCAAAACAGTTTGGTGAATATCTGAGAATTTTGAGAATTCTTGTTGCCCCAGCAACAATGGATCCTATTAAACAACTGATACACTGTCTGAAAATTTAGTGGGAGAAATTGGAATGTTATATATAGTATATTGCCAATTTGATTTAATGGTTAAGGCACAAGGCTAGAAATTGGAGGACTATAAGTTTTAGTTTTGTGTCTTATGCACAAAATCAGCTGGGTTCTCTTGGACAGTCAATCTCTTTCAGCCCTAGGAAACAAGCAATGGCAAACCACTTTTATAATCTTGCCAAGAAAACTGCAGGGACTTGTCCAGGCGGTTGCCAGGAGTCAAAAAGTGACTGGGGGGGGGGGGATGTCATTTAGTTTGCCAAATCACATTTTGAACTATTTAAGAGTAAGGATATTAATCTAGATCAGTGGTGGCTAATCTTTTTGGTGTGCCAAAAATTGTGCATGTGCTCACACCCAGAAGGCAAGGCTACAGCCCCTGTGCATGCACGTGCAATCCCTCCCCCTGTGCCCCCTTACTGCGCCTCACAGCTGATTTTCGGCTGGTTTGAGGCCATTTTTGGCCTCCTAGAGGCTTGAAAAAAAGCCTCTTGCAGGCTTTGCAGACCGAATAATAGGCCGGTAGGAATAATAGGCCGGTAGGAAGTGACGAAACAGGCAGAAAATCAGCTGTGAGGTACGCGCATGCCCAATGAGGTAAGTTTGCCTGTGGCTCGCATGCTGGCACAAATGGCTCTGTGTGTCACTTGGGGCACACATGCCATAGGTTCGCCATCATGGATCTAGATTATCTCTGACACTAAAATACCATGATATTCTAAGCACATTATTGTATGCTCGGGCTCTCAGGTTTACAAAGTCTTCAGCTTGTGTCCTTTTATTCAGTGGCCATTTAAAGTTATGGTTGTGCTGAAAAAAAATATGGATGTAGATAAGTCCCCAAAGTTCTGGCCATTGAAGTACCCCTGTGGTCATACAATCACAATCCAAGCCCCTGTGTGTTCAGCTTATGGCAGGAACATTGCAGTTCATGTGATCACCATTTCCTATCTTCCCTGTCAGTTTCCCACAAGTAAACTGAGTAGGGAAGTCAGCAGGGAAGGTCGGAAATCATTTCTCTCTTTTTCTCCCTCTCACAGCACTTCCCTGTGTTCAGCCTCTTCACCATTCTTTGGCCTCCTACAACTCAAACAGAACCTGTGATGGCCCTCCCCTGCCTCCTGTGACTTGTGTGCAGTC